TAAAATGAAGTGCTCTTTAATCAGATGAGCCTATATCATGCTATTCCCATTAGAGACATGAGCTGCACTGATCTCTTCACAACTGCTATACCGTTAATCCAGATGAACTAGAACACTTGATGAAGTTACAGCAGAGTGTAACTTCCACACCAGCTTTATCTAATCTCCTTAACTAGAGTCCAGTACTTTCCAGCATTATAAATGCCAAGCACTATAATTTAAGCATATTCAACTGCATAAGAAAGAGTGGTGCAATTTCAGACCTTTTTTTTTTTTTTTTTTTTTTTTTTTTTTTTTTTTAAATGCAAAATTGCTGAACTTGTAATGCTGAATTTAGCCCACTGGCAAACTGTAGTACATTTTCAACCATCTATGTCTAAGGAAAAAAAAATATATATACACATAAAAAAATAAATTATATGAATAGAGCCATCCTTGTTGTATTAACAGACAGTGAAAAAACAGGAACACAAATGAAGGATATTAAAACAAACTATAGTGATTACTTTTTTTTTTGGGGGGGGGGGTGCACACCAAAAAGGGAGTGTTGCATCCCTAAAAAGAGGCTAGGGGATGAGTTGAGTAACAAAAAATAAAACAAAAAGAATTTTCAAACATGAGCTTCTTGTTTTTTGGGGTTTTTTTTAAAGAAAAGAAAGAAAGCTATTGAAAGATGACACTAGCTACTTACCAGTAGGTCAAGCACACCACTAAACTGACAAATACTGTTAAAGCACACAATCCTCCACCATCCAAGAAACACAGCTATTCACTAGCAGTTCTAGCCTGTCCACACCCCACCACTGAAACTGGCCTAGACTGAGCCTGAGTAGTGCTACACCTGCTTTTATACTGTGGTGAGGCTAATTCCTGAGTAGAGACAGCTGTGCACTGGCACCTCAAGAGAAATGGGTGGCAGTTGAATGTGTGGGGCAAACAGGACATACCCACACAACATGCGGGCTGTAACAGTGAGCTTAAACTGCAGAAGTCTATGTGGTAGATGCAGGTGAAAAGAAAGATTTCTCCAAATTAAAAAAAATGTATACAAGCATCTTTTTGCAACTGTGGACATACAAGTTTGAATTATCACCTTAAAAGATAATAACATCTCTGACACACTGTCCTCCTTTTCCTTTTGTTTGGCAGCATTAAGTGGAAATACAGTTTGACACGGTAAAAAGAGTCTTCTGTGGTCATTTGCAACAGGTATAAATACTCATTCTGTTGCGCCTGGTCAACACTTGGTGTGACACAGTTTGCTTCAAGCATAATGACGTCTTTATCCTTCTAAGCTACAGTGCTTGAACTGTTCTTCATATTATTTAATCATCTGACTCTATAAAAACACCATGGTTCCACCTCTGAAGGAAAAAAAATAAACAGCTGATGCTACATTTCATGTTCAGACAAACAAGTTAAAATGTTTTTTTCATCTGGTACATTTGAACATTGATGGATAACACTAGTGACCTAATTTCTACTAGTTGAAATGCAAAATGTAATTGTGTGGCATGCTAACAAGCGTGCATCACCCTTCATTTTAAAAAATAGAAAATAGAGCCTTGCTGAAAAATTACTTGGCTGATATTATTAGTCAGTATTGTCATATGTTGGGTTATGTATATTATATTAATAATAATATATATATAATTAATATTATACATAATGACCATGTCCCAAGGTATAAAAAAACAAAAATTTTTAGAATATGAAGCAAGAATATATGATCAGTGTATTTGAGAAATGGCGTCATCACATAGTTTGCAGTACAATAAATGAGTCTCAACAAGTGATGGTATACAAGCTTAAAGCTTTATGTTTCTAACGATGTGATGGAAAATCAAAACGTTGTTGAAGATTCTTGCCTATGTACAGACCAAACTTAGTTTCATATGACTGAAATAGATTCATTCTCAGAATATCTCAGGAAGCTCACACAGTTCTCACTTCACTAACTTCACTAACTTCACTTCACTAACTTTCTGAAATAACGCAAAAAAAAGTGTGTTTCCCTTTATTTGCAATAATTTCTTACTGATGATAAAGTCTTTCTTTCTAATTAATTCAATTTCTGTTAAAACAACAACAACATTAAACCAAAATATCTACACAGACTTACAACTCGTGGCTGTCAAACTGCTGAATTTGTACTATACTACTTACTTTAACCGATTCATTTAAAGCTTCCAGACATCACCACTATCGAGTTCTATGACTTAATATGGAAAAAGACTAGATTGAACCTGGCATCAGAGCTCTTACTTAAAAATCAGTTATGTACTACAGGTCACAGTATAATGTTAAACTTTTGAAAACATAGCCAAATAACAACCCAAAATTTTGTCCTATAGAGGACATAGACATGATCTCTAATCTTTCCCTATCAAAAGCTACAGGTCACGTTGATATTTTTCTTCTATCTCCTACATACAACAAGGCTGTTGTACAAGAACTTATAAAAAAAATACTTTTGGTTACTTTTTATTATCCACTTATCCTGATTAAAGTCAGTGACATAATTGTTTGTTAACTATATCAAAATTGGTGAATTTAGGAACAGTAATGACTATCATGTGATTGCAGAAAAGCATTAGTTTGTAATGTGTTACTTCCATCAGTAATTGATGAACCATCTACGAGACTAACTTTTTATTGCTGGACAACAGGAAAACTTGATCCATAATCATACTGTACATTAACCAAAGATGTATGTGTGACATTCTGGCTGTAGCAAACAAGGGAGTGACAACAACCACTGATAGTTGAGTGTAATGAGCTAAAGAAGTAGAAATTCTTTCTCCGAAGTTGATGTATACAGACAGAGCTTTAATGGACTGAAAAGGCTATCAATGTTACTTTAATCAATAATAATTTCCCTATAACTCTGCTGAGCAATTTAAATGTGACTCAGGTTTAAAAACTTTATAAAGTCAGCAACCATGATTTCCTATGTTCCAATGTTCATCCTAGTTTTGAATGATAAAAAACTGATAGCGACTTCCTTTTATTCAAAGCTTTTGCTGAAAATTCAAAAATGCTAACTCTGATTGGCTTATTCCATTGAAGCTAGTAAAGGGTATTAGGTGTTCAGTAAAATTGTGAAGAAATGTTTCCACAGACCAATGTTTGCTTCAAAGTTCAAACAGAATAATAAGTGAATGTTTTGAACCTGCATTGTAACCACCTTCTTGTCTTTTTTTTAGCCTAAATTTTCCTTGGATTACAACGCCATGCAGAAATGGCTTACACTACCCCTGTTGCTTGTTGCATTCCTGTTGAGTAGAACAAGTGATACAAACTACACTAACAAAGCAACAGCATGGAAACAGTGTGTAGCACCAGTAATGTTTAAAAATTTGCAAGATCCCTTTAAGGTGGGAATGTAAGTTTGTGCATGCTTTACAGCAAGCTGCACTTTGAAAACTCTTGTTTTAAAGGATAATGTCTCTCAAATTCAGTGTCAATATGAAAAACCTCTGTCTTTGTAATGTAACAACCTGTCTAACAACCTGTGGAAGACTGAAGTTAAGCATAATTTTAAAATGACAGAGAAAGCGGTGCTCCTCGCACTCCAAATACAATCCTTTAACTCGGCTACTGAGAGAAGATTATTTTTCCTTCAACCAACGTGTCCGTTTTATACAGGTATTAGCCATGCAGCACAGTTGCTACAAACATGCTAATAATGTATGCCAAAATTTTCTGAAAAGAACTGAACACATAGCTTGGGTATATCCTAACTTTTGGTTTAGGCAAATTAAAAGGATATCCCTACCCTTCTTAAGTTTGGAGAAATAGGTCAAACTATGACACAATCAATAAAACCATTCTGATAAATCCATTCACAAAAATTTGTCAGGCTAATTTTACTGGTGAAATAAAAATAATACCCCCATAATGCTTATAACTAGTAATCCAAAACGCCTTGCAAAGCATGCAGGGAACATAGTGAACATTTATCTTCACAGTGTAGCCTGCTCATTGCTGGCAGAGCATTTGCACTTTATATATTTAGTTATCTCTTCACTTGGATTACATTCCTGTCCCCTGTCCAGCACTTGCAAACTCCGTTTAACAGCTCAGACATCGATACTTTGCAATATGTTTATGTGTTATGCACAGTCTCATATTCCTGTGGGGATGAGATTAAGTATGTGCCACTCACAAGTGATTTCTTGGTATTTTGTTAACATAGTATCTTAATTATTTTCCCACTAGGACTTAAAGTCTGTTGATGGCGCACACAAAGACTCAGTGGTGAGTTTATGGAGACCTTATCACTTAATGGTATTTGTTTCAATCTCATGAGACATCACAATAACATTCTTACAGGCCCTAAATGCCGTGCTGTGTCTGCAGTGCTCAATAGTCTACAGTGAGTTTTCAGTGAGCTTATCGCACTTTATTGCATCTTTATATCCTGTAACAGGGGTTTGTTCGACTGGTCTAAGTAGTCTCAAAAAGGGCAGCCTGATATCTCAACACACAACATGACCATTACGTAACGCAGTTTACGGAATACCCCACGGGCCAATTAACGGATAACGATATTTTGTAACAATTTCAGTAATCTGCCAGCCTTGCATAACGGCAGGGCCTGGCTGCGAGAACAGATGCGCAGGCTGGCATATTGCTAATGGATTGTAAACACGGGCTGCCTATAGGCCTCGGCTGCCTCAGATATTATTCTGGTGGAGAAGAGCCACCTTCTCTCCCCGCCACCTGCAGAATGCGCAAGTCTATAACAGCCCACTGCAGCCCCGTGGCCTCTTGATTTATTGCACTGCACAAAACAGATAGCAGTGGGCTTTAGCTGAAATCATTATATATTTATGCAGTGGCAGCAGAAAAGCAGTCTGCCGTAGAAAAGACACATAAAAATTATGCATAGTGGCCTTGAAATAAATAACAAACGGCGGCAGCCCCCCACCCCCCCGTATTGATTTGAATGTAGATGCACAGCAGAAATCCGATGATTCCGCTCAAAGGGTGCTTACCTCAAGCGTTCGTATCTCTTTTTGTGTCAAGTCGTTGGATGTGGCACATTTGGTCCGTAAACCCTCCAAACTAGAAATGCTTATGTCTATCATATTTTGCACCAACTCGCACTGCTGCAAGGCTTTCTGCAAACTAAGATGCTGCTCCTCGCTTTTTGTCATCTCCTCGTTCATAGTTTTGTGAACAGTGGACGTTATTTTTCCGTTGCACTTAACAAAAAAGGAATGAATTAATTCAAAAACAAGGGGGAAAAATATTGATGATTATTCACGAAAAGAGCGTGGTGAAACCCACGGAACGGAGCAACCTGCAAAACGCCATGAAACGAGATGTTGAAGGTTTAGAGACGGGCTTTGAGCCGTGAGAGAATCGACTCCATTGCAACAACAGTCCTCGTAGTTCCTGCTGTTTCATCAAGGTGTCTCTGGTTGTGGGCTAAATCAAACACAGTATGAAGATACCAAGCGGGACTACGCGGTCTGCATCCATTGGGTTCCACTTCTTTCAAATGTATGTTTGGGGGGGAAAAAAAGAAAAGAACAAGAAGAAGCTGTTCAGCGCACCATAAGTAGACGCATCGGGGAAAAGCCTGCTGGTTTTAAAGGTGCTGATGTGCGGACTGGATGCAGGTACTCCCTGTCTCCCTAGGCAGCAGCTGCATCCCGGTTCTCTCCCACCACACCGACATGTTTCCTGTCAATCAAACCCACAGCAACAGCATCGCATCGCCCAGGCACCACCGTGAGGGGCCGTTCTCGCGAGATTACAGAGCAGAGTAGAGAGCTTACTATGCTTGAAACGCCAGGCTAGAGGTTAGAGACAAAACTATCCCTTTTTACATGTTTGAAACAAAGATGTCCTTTTACTCAATATGTATGATATCTATTAGTTTACTACAGGCTCATGCTGTGTGCACACTTATATAGCCTGCAGTCCACAGCCACACACACCCCTTCAAAATATTTCTAGAGAATGATTTAAATATGCTTTAAAGTTAAATGGAAAAACAAATATTCTTTTCCACTGATTCATGTGAGACATTTAATTTTGGCCTAGTGAGACAACTCTGTACTATGCCTGTTGATGTTTGTATGTGAGTAGAATCTTCTGTTTTTTATTGTGTGCCTTATCTCATTTCTTCTTCCTCTGTGCTCAGGTTTAATTTGCAGAAGAGATCTTGATCACAGTGAGGCTCCTCAGTTAGAATATAGGTTATAACGCAGACATTACAAATAGAAACTGGATTGTTCAAAAACAGCAGTTGCAGGAAAAAAAAAAATAAACCAAACATTAAGGATTGAATGCTGTCAAAATGCAGGCTGTGATATTAAATTGTTATCCTTGACTGATGCAGTATAATGCAGCCTGGGAATCAAGATGCTTTGGAGGTTGCCAGCAACAAATCTGAGAAGTCAAGCTGATTAAAGAGATAGGAGATGGTAAACAAAATCTTGTGTACTTTACTGCTCACAACTTTTTTTCACTAACCTATGATGATCAAGAAAATGTTTCAGAGAAACCTGTCGTGTAAAGTATAGGTTAGGTGATATTTCAAATTCAGGTTCTAGATAAATATATGGGCACACTGCACTTTTTTGACATATGGACAGATATGTGTATTTTATTGTCAGCACCATTACCAGAACAGAAAATAAATGCAAAAACATGTAGAAAACATTTGTGACACTCTTTGTCATGTGTTAAGATGCTTAAATATTAACACTTACAAAGATAAACTATAATGAGATTAAGATGTCAGTGTCGTATAAAAGTGAACAAACTACATCTAAGAAGGAAAGGTGTAGACTTTCTTTTTTTTAAATTTAACAAGACGTTTAGTGACACGTGACATTTATTTAAAAAATCAAGATAGCCAGAACACTTTTTTTCTTTTATTTTGGTGATTAGGACTTTAAAGACTTGTAGTTCTTGCTGTTGGGAAAAAAACCTACTCCTGAGTTTGATTTTAATTTTCACTGATTAGGGCAAGGAATTGTTCAAAATGGGAGAGACAATATTTATAAATGAAAGAGGAGATATATATCTTCGTTGTTATGATGTTTGATATTGTGTATCTTTTATTGTTACAATTTCTAAATCCCGTTATTATTATTTTTTTACAGCAGGGAACAAGTCACCGATACTCCGCCCATGAAAATGACAATGTGATTCCATTGGTTGTACGTGGTGACGTGTGACGTACGTTTTGTTTGCGGAGCGCGCCAAACAGGGCCATCAACAGTAGTAATCGCAGTGGCTTAAACTCTGGAACCCTTTTGCTCAGCTTGGCGTAATATTCATGCTTGGTAGGATATATGGCTTCTACAAGTAAAGCGCCGCTACAGACCAGAAATTTACCATGGTGAGCTGAAACTCGCTGTTTATCACAGAATGGTTCAAAAAGTTATTGCTAGCTAGCTAACATGCCTACTGTCAAGCTAGCTGCTCGCTGCACTGAGTAGACTGATGCATTCTGTGAATTGCTAGCTTTATATACATATAATAAATGACGTTAGTTATTACGCATAGTTATAACATGGAAGGAAATTAGCTTGTCTTCAGTTCGGCTTACGTAAATCTTATCAGTCCATCAAGCATTAACATGGTGCCACTTCAGCAACAGGTTAACCGAAAACCTGCAGCTTCTGACTGCGGTGAAAGTACTGTAAGGTTGACGTTTTGTTTATAATAAAGGGTGATGTTACGAAAAAAAATATGGATGCGGAACTAAAAAGTGGCCATATGTAATGTGATATGTCAACGTTTGTCAGCGCTTATCATATGTGTCCGTAAACGTTTCAATAATTTTCTTTAAAATTCTTTCGAGGTTGCTTATTTGCCTTGCTGTAAACGCAGTAGTTATTGCAAGTATGAATGCGTGTGTGTGCGTTTTCCTGTTTCAGGGTTGAAAAATACAGACCACAGACACTTGATGATCTGATTTCACACAAAGATATTCTGAGCACTAGTAAGTATGTGGACTGCCAGAATAACAATACTATAAAACTGTATAACATGACACTTATTGATAATCAAACTACTTTTAAAACGTAATAAACTGATAAACTCAATGCTATCTGCCAGTGTTTTTGACTCTTGAGCTTGTTTACTGTGGTTATACCGTCACTGTCATTAATGAGTCATGGTACTAAGTCAGCTGGCTTAAAACTTTTATGTTTCAAACTATTCAAGGGGGGTGCATATGTGGATTGTTATAGAAATGTTGGTTACTTGTATTTAAACAGATTTTCATTTGTTCTTTTTATTTCCAGTCCAAAAGTTTATCAGTGAGGACAAGCTTCCACACCTTTTGTTCTATGGCCCACCTGGAACAGGAAAAACCTCAACCATACTCGCTTCTGCCAGGCAGCTGTACAAAGAGAAGGAGTTCAACTCTATGGTGTTGGAGGTATGTTACAACTCCTCATTAGAAGATTTGGATTTGCTGAATTGTAAAGGTTTTTGAACTTGTAACTCTGCCATTTTACATTAAAATATAACTAATTTTGGTTTATAGCTCAATGCATCTGATGACAGAGGTATTGATGTAGTACGAGGTCCCATTCTGAGTTTTGCCAGCACCAGGACCATCTTCAAGTAAGACTAAAACACTTGTAGAGATTTTGACCAGAAATAAGTGTTCTCAATACTTTTATGTGCAGTTAAGAAGTGCAATGGAAATGTAAGCTGCTGCCTTTGCTTTTTTTATATATCTTGTCCTTCAGGAAGGGCTTCAAGTTGGTGATACTGGACGAGGCCGATGCCATGACCCAGGATGCCCAGAATGCATTGCGTCGAGGTAAGCCATCTGTTCGTTCAGGCATTACCCACTGTGAGGCACACGGCTCAGTGAGCAGGCAATTTGGCTGCTGCTGACTTACAGTGTATCTACTTTTAAACCTGGATATTTATTTAAAAAGCTTTACTTTGCAGAAGAGTGGAAATAATTATTGAATTTAACTGTGAGATATTTTGTAAATTTAGTCCAACCTGTGTTTTTCTAATAATGTTTCCATATTTCATTTATAAAGCATCTATTGCTGCTCAGTGCCGTTTTATATTTCTAAATAGATGCATGGTGAAGGAAGAGTGGATGATATTATTGGTATATTACTGTCAATTCTAAATTCTCAGTGAGGTGGTTTACAATCTTAGCAACATTAAGCAAGTCCTTAGGATAGATTATTCAAAAAAGTGGAGGGTTTTTTTTTATTTACTAAGATGTTGCCAGAATTTACATTTTAAACTTGTTTCCCTGCTTTCATCCCACCCTTGCTCTCTGTCTCAGTCATTGAGAAGTTCACAGAAAACACTCGATTCTGTCTCATTTGCAACTACCTTTCCAAGATCATCCCCGCCCTGCAATCTCGCTGCACCAGGTTCCGCTTTGGTCCGCTTTCGCCAGACCAGATGATCCCTCGGTTGGAGCACGTTATCCAGCAGGAGAAGTGAGTTAATGTGTGAATGCTTTCTCTCCACTTACTGTTGTTGTTGTTGTTGTTGTTGTTTTTTTACATCTCATTGAATTATTCCCAGAATTGCTAATGAACTTGCCAAATGTATTTGTACCTGTTGGCCTCCCTGGGCTCCGCTAATTTGCGTATAGTGAGAGAAATAACTATTTGATCCCCTGCTGAATTTATAATTTTGTTCATTTCCTTGTAAGTGAGCATTCTCTAATTTTTATGGTAGTTTAATTTTAATAGAGACAAACATAATACCAACCACATTAAAGATTGTTTAAAATCCAGAGTCTTTGTTCTTATGTTACGTTTCTGTTGGGTAATGTTTAGAAGTTTAGGGCTTCTCTGTGTGTGTTTGAAAACAGTTTAAATCAGGGTGCAACATCAACCCTGGCCTCTCAACTGTACCAGGCCCTGAAAAACCAACAAATGCCACAATAGGAAATAAATGTTCTCATTGTTTCACATTTATTGCTATATGCAACTTGAGATAGAAGAAATTAATGAACAGACTTGGAATTATTTTTGATTGCTCTATTTATTAAATGTCATCAATTATGTGTTCATGTCGCAAGTTTTAATTTAACGTTGATATGATTTAAAAATAGTTGATTATGTCATTACTTTTTGTGACAGTATTGACATCACGCCAGATGGAATGAAGGCTATTGTGACCTTATCAACAGGTGACATGAGAAGATCGCTCAACATACTGCAGGTATGGCCAGAAGTTCATCATCAGCGTTGTTTAAGATGTGGATGTCATATTCAGTGTGGCCGTTTTTAAACAGCGAAAATATAGCCACTGGCCACTTCATTAGTTGCGTCCCCCCTTTTGCTTTCAGAGCTGCCTTATTTCTTTGTACCATTCCTTTGAGGTGTTGATCCATATTGAGATGATTGAATCACACAGTTGCTTCAGATTTTTCTGCTCCACATTCAGGATGTAAATCTCCACTACATTTCGCATCCAATATATCCCAAAGGCTCTATTGGATTGAGATTTGGTGAGTGTGGAGGCCATTTAGGTACAATACATTTATTGTCATGTTCAGGAAACCAGTCTGAGATGATTTGAGCTTTGTGACACAGAGTGTACCAAGAAAATATCTCCCACACATTACACCATCGCCAGCCTGAACTGTTGATACAAAGCAGAATAAATCCATGCTTTCAATGTGTTCAAGCCAGATTCTGACCCTGTCATCACAGTGTTACAGCACAAATTGCTTTCCGTTAAGCTGCACGTTCTTCTCTAACATCCAACAGCGCATTTTCTCCCAGAGAATAACCACATACTGGATATTTCCTCCTTTTTTTTTTTTTTTGCACCATTCTCTGTAAACCCCAGAGACAATTGTGTGGGAAAGTCCCAGTAGACCAGCAGTTTCTGGTTACGTTTCTTCCCCGTTCTGATACTCCGTTTGAACTTCTTCAGGTTGTCTTGACCATGTCTACATGCCGTAATGCATTGAGTTGCTAGCATGTGATTGTATTTGCATTAACAAGAATTCAAACAGGCATATCTAATGAAGTGGCCAATGAGTAGTATATGTTATATATCCAAACTGCAGATGGGTAGACTGTACTGCATGTCATCCATCTCTGTGATTTCAGAGCACCAGTATGGCCTATGGGAAGGTCACAGAAGACACAGTGTACACCTGCACAGGGCACCCCCTCCGCTCAGATATAGCCAACATCCTCGACTGGTGCCTCAACAAAGACTTTACTTCAGCGTACAACCGTATCCTATATTTAAGTTCTATGAAAGCTGCACATTTCTTGTTTTTGACTATGCCATTTTATACTTTGAACATTTCTTATGAAGTTTAGCATATTCCAAGAAAGAACATTTCTTTCTTGCAAATAAAACTTTAGGTTAATAGAAGGTAGCTGTACCTAAATGCTTTGCAAATGTTTTTAAAGATTCGGTGACTTTTTTTTGAATGGTGGGTTAACGAACAAAAATTCATATTAGTAGTACAGTTTATGATCTTGCATTTCTTTAACACATGGATGAAAGAAATCCTTGAGCTGAAGACTCTGAAAGGTTTGGCTTTGCATGATATTCTCACTGAGGTTCATCTGCTTGTACACAGAGGTAAGGAACATGCAAGGGGGGGAAAAAATCACACGTTTTTATTTCTTTCTTTAATTTAAGCACCCCAGCACAAAAGCCACCCTCCTTTTATGCCAACATTTGATTGGCTGCCTCTCGCAAACATAAGGTTTGAACAGGTGGATGGGGTTGCTGTGCTCACAGACCAGCCCTAACCATAAAGTATTTGGAGCAGTCTTTGGCCACGTGTAACATGAGTGTCAACCATAGTAACAGCACATGTTAAAGAAAACACGCAATGGGGCCACTTTAAAACCCACTGAAAGGTTGGCGGTTAGAGACGTGTTCAGTGTTAAAGTTTTAAGCTCACAAGTTTGTGCATTAATGAAAGTTTTTCTGTTTTTACTATCAAAAGCAAAGTATCTAATTTTTAAAAATGTTTTTTCTTTAAAGTGGATTTTCCTCCCGCTATTCGGATTAGTCTGCTCATCAAGTTGGCCGACGTAGAGTAAGTGTGATGCTTTTTAAAAAAATATTTACAATGTAACAAGTCATGTTAATATAATAAAGACACCAACATGTTGATTTCCACACGTTGTGGCAAATTTTTTTATTTCCATTATTGCTCATGTTTCATCTCTTCAGACATCGGCTTGCATCGGGAACCAGCGAGAAGATCCAGCTGAGCTCCATGGTTGCAGCTTTCCAGGCAGTGAGAGAGCTCGTGGTCAGCGAAGCACCTTAGATACAGTAATGCAACGATGGTCTTTTTCCACAGTGGGGTGGGGGGGGGCGGCAGTGTAAAAGATGTCTGGAACAATGCTAGCAGCTATCTGACTCACTCACATCTGCATACAGAACCAAGATGGAAGTCGATCAGCACAGTGGAAAAACGAAACAAAAGATCCTTTTGGCACTTTTGATTTAAAAGGTGGACTTGAAAAATCCTATTTTCAGTTTAGTATCACTGCAACCAGGTAATCAGTTCATTGTCCAAAAAAAAGTCATTGAACATGTGTATGTTTTAATCAGTTTAATAAAACCCTTTCTTATAAGTCCAGTTGCTGCAATATTAATGTGCCAGTACATTAGCAGTGCATATAATGGTAAACACAGGAATTAGAAAGTATATATATCTGATATTTACACAATAAATTAATAGTATAAAACTGTTATTCAAGTCAACAATGTGAACACTGAATGTATGCTTTGTAGTACCGCAGTAGTGCAATAAATGAAATCTTAGTGCAGGAATGTTGCATCTAAAGTATCTTAAAATATGCTTAATCTGCTTCATCAAGCTTTCAAAGCATTTGTTATCAGAAAATACAAGGCGTTTTTAGGATCATAGTTAATCACTGAAAATGTCAGTTATTTATTTTTAAAGTTCCTATTTAACTTTCCCACTCCTCTTCATCTGAGGAGCAGCAGGACTTGAGGCGTTCGGGGATGTTTTTGTATGTGAGGTACTCGAGGATCCTCTTGGGGAGGGGCAGCGCCTCAATCTGGTGCGTGGAGATAGAGTGGCGCAGGATAGATCGACACAGGTGGCACAAGCTGGGCACCGCACTGGGTGCCCTCCAGAACCTCACGTGGCCATCTCTGGTTCTGCCAAAAGAGACACATTTGCATGTTTATTCAGGGGCCAGTTTTCACAAAGATACTTTAGACTGGTGTGTTCAGGGATGGTCCTAATTTTGCTTGTAGATTTAATGCGTCTAATGCAAATCAGATGGTGTCAATAATGTAAAGACAGGTCTCATTTTCACCTTTAAATGAATCAAACTTCCGTACTATCTCAAGCCTAAGATTGATGTTACCATGGTACCGACAGGTAGCTTTGACTATTAGTACTCGAAAAGACAAAATCGTTGCTTGTAATTTACCAACATTATGTATTAGAACAGAGTTTTAGATACTGAATTGCTTTCAGCCACTTTTGTATTTTCAAAGGAGCCACTGCACTAGATGGATCTGCATATCTGATCCCCCCACCAATATATTATATTTAACAGCTTAATAACTGGGGGTTTTTTGACTAAAAATGAATGATATGAGAGCCTAATTTCATGGATAAGTTTAGCTGTATAAATATACTTTATAATAAAATAAAATAAATAAAGCTAGGAAGTGGGGTAAACTGAATTTTGGCATATAATGTCTATCGACCACCCTCTGTAATATTGTGAATCTATGCTGAAATGAAAGCATCCTTACCCCGTAGCAACAACTCCCCCTTGTGGATGGTACTTGCAGCACAGTCCATTAGAGTCTCTGTCTCTTTTCGTCTCCATCACCATCCCTTTCTCCCCCAGCTCCCAAATCCTAAGAGCTCTGCAAACGCAACACATCTGTCTGAAAGCATCTTTCCAGTGTGTAAAACATTTAAGTTATATAATATAGCATTTTCAGATAACTGACCTGTCGTCTGTCACAAGTGTCAAGTGCAGACCGTTTGGAGAGAACTGTATTGCTGATATTTGGTTTTGCCCATAATCTTCAAAGTAGTCACTGTGCAGAAGAGAAAGAGCGATGACTTTGAACTGCACCAAGTCAAAGTCAGACGCTCCACATAGTATACATAGAAAACAGATTGCAAAAGACAAGGACACTAGGACATACTTTCACATGCCGTGTCATACGCAAACAGAGATAATGACAGTGTGGGCTGTTTGGTTCACAGATTTAAGCTTCTGTACTTAAACTCAGTGGTAACAACCCGTTTATTTGAGTAATTTGCGGTCTTCTTATGTAACCCATAGAATGGAGTCTTTGTGCACAATTTTAACCCTCAAAGTTGTACAAACTCACGCCAGAGTGGCCAGTTTCTCTGCTGTGTATGGGTCCCAGAGGTCGATCCACCAACTGGAGCCGCTGAAGGCTGCAGTGGCGAGAATTGCCCCGTCAGGAGAGAAGTCACAAGAAGACAGGAGGTACACGGTCTTGTGGGCCCCTCCTGTCAGGTTCCTGATGAATGTATATGAACGTAGACTCCACAGACACACCATCTGATCAAAGTATAATCATGCAGGGTTAATGAGACTTTATACCTTGCTGGAAGGGCTGTTTTTAATTTGGAAAATTAATGTAGGTTTAGTCGATGCTCAAAGTAGCTTGTCCCTGGGGTAATTAATTGCTGCAGAACTGAAATTTTTTTTTACAAAAGCTAGTAATTTGTCAGTGATGTACTTGCTTGGTGTCAGCAGGACACCCTGAACCACGCAGCAGCGAGTGACTATGCTCTTAAAGTCTAATATTACACAACGTTATGCTGTCTGCTTTCCTTTGAAAATGAGAATATGTGAAATTGCCAGTTTGACTGGAGTGTTAAGACTTCCTGGTGCTCCAGAAGTTTCTAGAAAATGCTAAATGGCCTAAAAACATTTTAATAGGAGCAGGTAAAACAGACCACTACAATTGATATTCAGAAGCACCCACTAGCAGATAATTTCACTGAAAATGGATATCTCCTATAGGTGTTTAACTGGGTTGGTGTCAGCTGACTAAAGACATAAAATATAAGTCTCTGTATTTTCATACTCAAACCAACCAGAGCCTTTAGATAGTGATATTGTCATCCTGTGAGAGACCACCCCCATGAGGACAGAACTGTTTCATCACCAGATAAAGATGATTACTCAAAACAACATGTCCTAAAATAGCCCCACAGCATAACAGAGCCACGCTCAGTGGAGAGATCAAGCATTCAGGTTTTTCCTATAATTTGTCCAGGACGTATGCAACTCATATCCATCAATACTGGTAGCTGTCAAAAGAAAACACCACTAAAATAACTGAAGTTTGCAGAAGATTAAATACTTTACATAAGCAAATATCAACAAACTTGTTAGGAGCAAGAATTCAAATAGGAAAATATTTGAATATACCTTCAAACTAATTTCATTGTCCTAGAAAAATTAACGTGATGCAGGATTGCATTTAAAGCTGCCCTTTTAGACAATTTGTATCACACACTTTGAGCCATTCTCCTGATTAGACTTGTGGACAAACAACATTAAATTTGACACAGAGTTGAATGAACAGGGTCGCCCAAATCCATGTTGATAATGTTCATTAAAAACTGATAAAAAGAAGGACAAAAGGACACATTCAGCAAGCTTAGAGACATTAAGCATTTACAAGTGTTTGAGTTTTACATGCACAAACAAATTACTTAAGTTATCTTTTACAGTGCTCAGTACTTGATGAATATGACCTAATACGGTACTTTTGCAATGAAACACCTCACCCTGTCAAATCTCCCGACAGATGCAATCATGCTACAGTCAGATGATACGCAGCAGGAACTAATCCAGTCTTTATGGCCATAAAGCACCTGCACCTTTTTCCCTAAAACAGACAGGAAAAACATGGATGTAAATGTAGACGAGAGACTACAAAGCCTCATTATTTTTACTTTATTTTTTAAAATGACAGTACATCTCAGCTCCTGATTCCTGAATGTGTAAGCACAGCCATCTGCTAGCTTTAACCTCTTACATTAGAACAGAAGGTTTATTTCAGCTGAGTTTCACAAGATTAAACAGGGGTGAAGTAATGAATAGACAGCTTCAGTCATTAAGACCCTGTCTGCAAAGCCTCCAGAGTTGTTTGGTGACACGTGACAGTTAATATTTAACAGTTTTTTTTAAATGGGTGATCAGGCAAGCTCGAGGTGTACTTTGACATTTGAAAATTCAGCTGAAAAGCCTTGCAGTTCTAAGGTTATCTGCAAGAAAACAATTTGAGCCCAAGTAAAAAGGACGCACCAAATATGTAGATTATATTTTGTCCAAAACATTTTTTAAAAATAAGACGGTTGTGACTGCTACTCACAGGTATTTCTCATAAATATCTGAAAAATACCTTTATGAGCCAGGTCCCATATCCTCAAAGTTTTGTCCCGAGAGGATGATATGAGTGTGAGCGTCCCATTCTGAGGAAACACCAGGTCCCTTACAACCCCTTCGTGGCCGTGGAGATCAAAAACAGCACTGCCTAGAGGAAAGGAAAAGAAAAAACAAGCGATTTGAAAATCCATTTAATTCAGCCAAGCAAAACTAACAGTCACAGAAAAATAAAAATCTCACCTGTTAAAACGTTCCAGATTTTGATCACCCCGTTCTCCAAGCCCGTGGCCAGAAGCAGGCTGTTTTTCCCTTCTGATCGTGCTTTAGCCGGACACGCTGTTGCATTTGATTTTGGAGGTCTGGGCCCGAAGGCGAGCCCCCACACTGGGTGACCACAACTGAAGCTTTTGTCTCCTCTGTCAGTCTCTCCATTTTGACTTTCTCTGTGGGTGAGAGGAGCACCAAGAGTGCAGATGCCATAAAAAACTCCAGTGTAGGCGGTGTGAAGCTAGAGTTGGTGATTAAATGATGCAGCTTTCAAGTGTTGCTGGTCACAGCAGATCTAAACAACTAAACGGTAAACTGAGAGCTGAAATTTGAGTCTTCATGTTTTGCTTTTTTCTTTCACGTTAATCTAAAATAATAGCTGGAATGAATACATCCACTTGCATTCTTCTGCCTCCTTCCATATGTTTTATCAAATGTACCAACAAAATCTACTGAGTATTTAAAGTTGTAAGTCACATTTTTTTTTGCCTTATTTAATTATTTAGGCAAATTCAAACATTGTTCATGGAGCAACAATTCTTTACTGCAACAAAAATATAAAGAAAAAAATAAAGAGTACTGTTTTGTTATTTTGTGTGGTATTGGCAGCAGTGCTGAGCATTTTTCAAACAAATTGGCACTAATGAACACTGCTGAGCCGAAGGGAAATTCTTTGTGGGCACTAGACAGAAAAATACTATAATTTCAGGGGCCTAATTTAGAGGTGTGGGGGTGTAGGGCATAACAGCAAGACCCAAAAGTTTAATATTAAATACAGAAAAATTAGAATTTTTAATAAATAAATAAATGAAAAAAGGAATAAATGACATTACTTAAAGCTATTTTTAAAATCTATATCTGGTCTTACTTTAAACAATAGATGCTTTTAATGCTTATTTTCTGGAGTTTTTATCGCATTCATGCCTTATTTCCAAAATACTGC